CCCCCCCAACGACGAACTCCTACTATCTCTGACTCGTCCTCGTCGGACTCGTTCTCACGATATAATGAAATTCAACTGTATAACTACAAATATAATTCTTGTTAATAATACATATCACTTTCGTACACTAACCTGAATTCCTTGTGCTGGCACAACATGATCCTCTCCATACATTTTACATCTGATAGTTTTATCTGTTGTACGCTTTATGAGGATGTTTCCCCAATGAAGATCACGATGTTCAAATTCCAATGATGCCTCTGCCACTGCCAAAGTGTAAGTAACCTAAATGTTAGAAATACAAATAAAAAATAAGAATATTTTAGCCCGTTGAATCTTCCTTGTTCTTCCTTCTTCCGAGCCGTTCTGATCTTGAGCGATAGACGAGTGTGAATCTAGTCATGATATCGTCAGCACATGCACAAGAGACCCACTTGTCTACCACTTTAGATTCTAATCAATAGATAGCAGTAGGGCAAAAGAAACTAAAAATAAATAAATTAAAAAAAGAACTATTATTCACACTTGTCTTGAGCAAACTCAATCAGAATGTGAAGGACAACTTTCTTCTCTAAGGTCTGAAGGACCTAGAAGCTAGGCTTTAGATCCAACTAGACAAATACCACAGAGAAAACTTTTGCACTTGAACTGGAATACCTGAGCACTTTGGCACTTAAAATGGATCACTGCATTTCTTTTTAAGTTTGAGATAGAAGTTCATCTAAATCCACACCCAGTGGCGATCATCCAGGCTCCACATTGGACCCATTACTTTTTACTATATATTTAACTAACCTGGGTAGAGAACTGTTGTCAACTATAACCCCCTATGCTGATTGCACTAAAATTTACAGTAATCTGTTTACTTCCAATTTACACAACCAACACAAAATTGTGGAAAGGTCAACGAAATGGAATGGAATGTTGTTCACCACAAAAGATGTTCTATGGGAAGTATACATCATATCAATTAACATTTAAATATCTTTTTCTATTGTTGCACTTGATGAGGAAAATATAAGTCCCAGAAATGTGAGAATGGAGATTTTTATGTTTTGATCTTTTTATATGAAGAAATAGTGTAACATCACAGAATTTTGGCAAAGTTAATATGGTAGGCGAAAATTAAATAGGGACTGAAAAAGTATACATTAAGTATACTTTTAGAGTTTAGGTCGCCGAAATAAGACAATATATTAAACAGTTCATGGGTGTATATGAAGAAGATAACAGCAGATGCTTAAATTTAAAGCCAAATTAGCAGTGGATGCATCCAGGCACGTAGTGGGAAGAGATTTTGAGAATAGCTACAGTCCAGTAATGACAATGGAGACATTCAGAATACTCTGTCATTAGCAGCAATGTGAGGCAAGATTTATTGACATGGAGACTGCATTCCTCAATGGTATATTAGAAAGAATAATGTACATGAAACCGCCTGAAGGAATGCATAAAGGAGGCGGTACAGTTTTGTAACTCAAAAAAGTTTGTACAGTCTACCAGAGGATAGAAGGTGCTGGTATGGCAAATTATGTCAAATATTACTACGAACTAACTCTAAATCCCGAAAAAGCAATCCATATTTGTTCATAAATGGAGAAAGTAAAGAATTCTTCGCAATTCGGGTTGAGAAAATGCTCTGCAGTAAAGACACCAGGAATATCTGGATCAATGCTAAACAATTATGAAAACTCAATGAAAATTAGTACAGAAATATATCAAGAGATACTAGACAGATAATGGTTATTTATTAATCAGATTGCCATCTGACTTAGCATATGTATACAGCAGAATGTCTCAGTATTCAAAAGACATAAGTGTAGTGCATTAAACAGTTTGAAAAAGAATAATGATATATTTGAAAGGAACAAAAGTCTCCAAATTGAGAATAAACATAAAAAAGTTTGTTTAGAAATGGGTTCAGATGCAAGTTAAAGCACTATGAGTGATCTTTTGCAGGATTTGCTACAAAATTGGGAAAGTCTTTGGGAATCAGAAGCTGGAAGCCAAAAAAACAAAAGATTGTGGCACTATCAACGATGGAAGCAGAACTGATAGGAGAAGTTAGAGAACCAATTTCTGAATGGCTTGCAGAGATGATATCTGAATTGAGTTCTCCCTTATTTAGAAAAAACCCCAATACAATTGCGAACAGACAGTAAAGTGGTGGACTCATCAAAGAGTTTATAAATAACATCAAAGAATAAACATATTGCAAGAAAATATAATTTTGGTAAAGGACAATGTGAGAACAAAAAATATCCAATTGTGAAGTCAAATATCCCAGATTAGAAACATATGAGTTAGCCAAAGATGTGAATTATAATGTTCTGTTTAAGCAGAAGAAAGAATTAGGTTTGGAATGAAAGCAGGGAGTTATTAGTTTCAAGAAAGTGAGGGATTTGTTATGTTTATTAATAATACAGAATTGTGCAACTAATCATTATGGAGTACAAGTATAAACGGTTACCTAGAGATGGCAGTTATGGATGAGAATAAGTATTTCAATGTGAACTGTTTTAAGGCGCGTTTACACGGAAAGAGTTTTCTCTCCTAACTTTCCGGAACTGGTTACGAGATACGTGTACACTCTCAGGACAGCGATCTTCTCTCCGGAGACATTACTTCACAAGAGATTTTCGAAATCTCTGCAAGAGAGCAGTGTAAAGGTTCTGGTATCCATGAGGAATCGTATCTCCTGGGAGATAAATTGTATTCAAAGAGAGTTGGAAGACTTTTTGCTCTCTTGCAAGTGTTCACGTGCTTGATTAGCCATTCTGCGTCTGTCTGAGTCTGTGCGGCGTTCCAACGTGATCGGTGGATTTCTATTCTTTGTGGGACATTATATACTGGGGAGTTATAAATACAAATGACAAATTACTGTATGTATCTTCTGTGGCCCAAAACCGCCGTACCGTCAAACCAAGTCTCTTTCCGAAATAAATTATTTTCCACTTTTCTTGCTTTTTGATTCCGTGGGATATTTCCTAATAAAAAAATCAAATCCTTCTGAAGTTACGAAGTTATTATACATGAAATCATTATCGTTTATATTATTTTTATTACATCCTTTAATAAATTAAAACTTCAAATTACGGATCAATTCTAAAAATTTGTTATATAAAACCATAATTACGTTTTCTCTTTCATATGCCTGCCCTAGGTGTAATGCCTCTTCTACCAAACTTAACAAATTTCAAATAATTTAAAATAATCTCCTTCGCAACATTTGATATCTTTCCTAGTTTATATTATAACACGAATTTACAGAGAACTTAAAATTGATTCTTTCAAATCGTTTATACTTAACTTCACTAAAAGTTTCTAAAACAAATTATCAACTTTACCCATTTTTCAAACCTTTACATTAGGTCAAAACTATTTTCCTCATCCTGGACTCCGACCACGTTTTCGAAAAAACATTTTTAATCGGCCATAAATTAAAACTTGTTTTATTTTATTGTCTGTGAATAAAATGTAATGCAATTGAACAGGTAGCAAATACATTTTTTTTTTAAATCCTCTTTTTGCAGTTCCGCCATCAAAGTTTTATAAATACTCTGTTCTTCTTTTTTTCATGAAAACAAAATCACTCACTCTTGACTCTTTCTTTTCCTCCGCTTCTTCAAAATTGTGAAAGTGGCACAGGCAGCTGCAACAGTTTTCACATTCTAAGCTCAAACTGCTCGCAGCTGCTTATTCAAGATGGCTGCGCCGGAGAACATCGAGAGACATTTGTATCAAGTGTAAACAGCAAGGAGATACTTTTCCGGAGATATCTCAGGAACCAACTCCCCCCTGTGTTAGGAGACTCGCGTTTCGGGAGATATTTCGAACCGTGTAAAGCCGTCGGAGAGAGTTTACCTCCGAGACGTCATGAAGTTAGGAGACTTTGTCTCTTCGTGTAAACGCACCTGTACTTTCTGCTCTGTATGTATCCTGCAGCTCTATGAATGAGACAGCTTTATGAATAAAATGCATGAATCATAATAGGCTGGACACTTTACTTACTAGTCCGTAAAATAAATTGTTGCAGCAATGCAAATATCCCAAAACTAAACAAATAGGCTTACCTGCATAAATGCTGACCAAGATTGTTCTGCAGAATTGAATACAAAGCCCTCAAGAGCACTCCCCACATTGCTTAGTTCCAAAATAATAAAAATTTGATCATCAGGAAGGATTTCAGGTGAATCATTCTCAGAAGCTAAAAGAAAACAAAAAAAACAGACAAACAATTGTAATCTTAATAATCAAAGTATCTGAAAATATGAATATACAATGCAATCAATTTAGGGTGGACTAGGAATTTAGGGACAGCTCATTTGTCTACACTATCCGGAAACAAAGTTTATTTAAAAAATATGGTGCCATTGTTCTTTTCAAAATATTTGTAGGGCTTCATGTAAAGTACCCTCCAAAATTATAACATTGGCTTCAAATTCCACGGGTTGCGACATCAGCCAGTCCAACTGAGAAATAACAATTTTGGAGAAAAACAGCTGATTAATTTTAAGGTGCTAGTGTTGCCCCAGATGGACGAACAGACAGACGTTTTGTCGTTAATTGATTTTTCAGTATCAAGAACCAAGAAAATGGATTTTGACTACACGCCTTAGAGAAAGTAATTTACTATATACAGGGATAACTTTTGCATTATTTAGGCCAGCCAATTAAATTTTTTTGTTGGTTCACCACTTTCTCCTGCAGCTTTACAATACTTTCTCTATACTGTGTCAGCAGTAGCGAGAAAGCAAACATACTCCCTTTCCTAACAACATCCATTTTTGTTTGTTTTTTTAGTAAATTACCCATACTTTTAAAGTTTGTTTACATGTTTAACACTTTTTGGTGAAATAACCCATTTTCTTGATTTTCAGTATTAAAACACACAGAAGTTTATCTAATCTTCTCAATGAAATTTCGTTTGTGAAATGTTTAGGTACTACATTGGCTATTACTGGGCTATGAACTTCATATGTCACAACTATGTACACGCCATTTTAAATAGAAATTGACCATGCTGAAACAAATTGTTAAAATTTCCAGTCACTTATGACTGTTTTTTCTATAAAAAATAAAATGAAACAAAAACTACACTGATTTTCAGAATTTTTTTATAAAAATTATTATTATTTTAGTTATTTTTCACCTGTTTGTAGAAAAATGAAGGCCACATATATCGGCACACGTTTTCTTGAACTCTTACTTTGCTAAGTATAATACAATATTTATACACTTTATTAAAAAGTGGATTCCCATATTTAAAGTAGTATTAGTATTTAATATGTAGTTAAATTGGAGTTTTGCATATTTGTCCAAAGTATTTGTGAGAGGTTTACAGAAGGAATTTTTGTTGCTGCATTAACTTACTTTTTTGTTCATCATACTCTTGCCAAAGTTTCAATAGCCTAGGAGGATACTTTCCTTGCACACACCAACAATCTATCAACTCAGGAAAATTGGGAGTACTGAAGTCTTCGTTCTCTCGAAGTTTGCTCAGCTGTCTATAAAATAACACAAAGTTTGACCATCAGAATAAATTTTATAAGTAACAAACTACATTAATGCATATGTTTTAAAACATTTAGGTGCTTCCTCAAGGCTTTACTATCTCTTGTGGATATTAGTTTGGATATAAGAGAGGAACAAAGAGCATTTATTTTTCAATAACTTTATTTACCCAACTAAAAGATTAATCACCAATATGTGAAGAAACCTGATAAATTTAAAAAACAACAACAACTAACTTATTCTTAATATTCAGTCACAATAAAACTGCAAATTTATTTATTGATGAAAATTTATGAGTGAGTTTGTTGAATATTGAAAATCTAACACAGTCTCAAAAACAAGATTTATCCACTTTTTTACCAGGACTCAGTAATGACAGCGTGGCCACTCATTTCTTTGAACAAATTTTTCTGACATTTCCTGGTTTCCAGGACATTAATCATGATAAACGCACTGCAAATTAATCAGGAAATATGTTAACTTACACAGTTACAACTATTTCAGGCAAGATTTCCTCGAATGACTTTTGAGATTCACCATTTATCAGGCAATCACCTTCGATAGGCATTATTTTCATGACTGTTTGTTGCTGGTGAGAATTAAGTCGAGCAAATACTTCTCCATATACACCTTCACCTATTTTCATGCAATCTGTAAGATCACTGCAAAATCAAACAATTAAAACCAAATTAAATTTGAAGAATACTTTAAAATGCTTCCAATATCATTCTCAAAGTTCAAAATCTCACCTCTCAGGAAATGCTTCATCAAAAGCAAGCACATCAGACTGTCCACAGTGTTCCAATACCACATCCTTAAATGTTATTCCATCTTTCTTCTCTTCATCTACACACACATTTTTCATTAAACCCATTAACAATGGAAGAGCAAAAATACCTAAACATCTATAATTTCCTACTAATTAAATGGAAAAATTTCATTAAAAAAAAATAATTCTGATCTCATTTACTTAATTCAAATGTTAGCTAACCCATTTTTAGGAGAGATCATTCAAAAATATTTTCCAAATTTAGCTTATATCATTTCCTTATCCTTTGTCCCCCGCAATAAGTTGCAGCACTTGCAATTGAAAATAAAAAACAACTTAAAATTACACAAAATTAGAAAACTCTCACCTAAATCATCATCTTCATCAGCATCATCATCATCATCATATTTTAAAACATTGTCTGGACTTGCAACTTGGTGGCAATGTGACAAATTTTTATCTATGCGCCGTCTTTGCAAAGGTGTACTAATATAGACTTCCCTGAAGCCTGAGATTCTCTCATAAATTTGACCCACATTCTGAGCCAATGGAACAACCAGATGTGATCTGCGTTGTGCAAAGGACTTTTTCTTCATTGCTTTGTAGCTGCTTCTACTCTCTGACAATGAAATTTTTGCTGTAAAAGAAAATGATAAAGACACACTATTTAATTATTATTACATCAAATTCTATGGTTTGCCCCAATTATATGATTATTGGAACTTTCAAGAGACAATTATTTATAGTATTATATTAAAAAATAACTGAAGCTCGTACAGTATTCGTAGCTTAACAGCAAATATGAACAATCCGGTTTGATGAAGTTATGAAGTTATCGATATTGTAATTATCAAAATTTGGGTAACAATTTTCCCTAACAGCTTTGAAATTCATTCAAGTGAATCTCAAACACTTCTAATAGGAGGCAACAATTTAAATCACAATTTCTTGAAAAAATACAGAATCTAAACATTTGTTTAATTTTCACAACAATGGCTCCAAATTTTTTCTTTAACCTTTTTGAACGGATAATGCTAATTGCACCATTTAGGATGACATAACATTCATTTTGGTGTATTCTTTTGTTTACACAAAAGTAATTTTTTAAAAATACCTCTTATTCAATATTTTCAGAGATTTGCATACATTTTTGCATTTGTGAGTGAGAGTGCTTCGAATGATTCCGAATAAAGTTTTTCAAAAATTCAATAGGTTTCTACGAAAAAGATCTTCATTTTTACAAAAATTGACTTTCGGTATAATCTCAATTTTCGACTTTTTTGAGTTACAACAATATTCGACGAAAGCAATCTGGAATATCTATAATACCTAATTACATTGTGGATATATTCTGAGCACCATTCTTGTTTTCCAGGTGATTCAGACCAATATTTTAAAATGTCCAGGAAAGAGTGATTTTCAAACAAACAACATTGTAAATAAAACGAAATGAGAAAACTAATGAAAAGCTGGACGAGATATTGTTATATGACGCGAGTCTTTCTACTCTTAGTTCAATGCCTGGAGAGTAGAAATCAGTTTTTTGTATGCATTACAATGAAACACTTCACCTTGATAGAACACATTCTACATCCAATTCCAGAGACAGTATGATTAAAAAAATATTTTGTTGGCAAACAATTTTCAAACTTGGTAACTTTGTCGCTCTCTCCTCTGCCAGCAACAGAACAAGTGAGCAAGAGAGAAAAAATCCGGTGACGCAGGTGGGAATATTCTTAAGTAAGATTCTAATGTTAGAACAAACACTAAGAATGCAAATACAATATACAAAATTTTGAAAAAGGCACCAAAAATCTCAGAACAACCTAGTACAGGTGGTCCAGAAAGATGCAAAGAATAATACAAATAAAGACTTAGGTGGTAGTGACAAAAATGATTTTAAGAGAAAAAGTGATAATGAGAACTCACGCAAAAACCTTCTCATCGACACGATATTTCACAAGTAAATAAGACAATTCGCAATTTTACTTTGAGAAGTAAGAGTAAAATGACAAAGAATTATAAGGAGGGTTCTTCAAAATTAAGGCGTCATCTTATTTTTGAGTAAATATGGCAATTTAATAATATTTAGTAAACACAAAAGTTTTATACTTACACATTTTCTCACAAACTGATCCACCTTGTGAAGAAGTATCAATGAAATCTGGAATTCTTTCACTTGTATCAAATTTTGTGAGGATGGCAGAACAGTTTGAAGTCATCACTGAATCAGCTGTTTCTGAATTTAATAAATGTTTGGAATCATCGATAGCACTGAAAGAGTTTCTCTTTTCTTCAAGTTTAGAACTTTTTGATGCATAACTTCTTCGAAAACACACATTTTTCATTGATGGTGAATATGTCAAGTCCTGAAGGTCTGCACAATTTTCTTTCAATGAAATTTGAGAATCCATATGACCAATAACATTATCTTCAATACTCGACACACTATTTTTGAATACATTTGTTTCTTTATTTATAGAATCACTTAGAGATTTTTCTCTGTCACATTTAACTGGTTCTTGAATAACTTTATTCTCTATACAATGACAATATTTGCTTGTTTGTTCACAAGTACTACTAGATTGTTCATGCACTTCTTCCAATCGAGTTTCACTTTTAACCACACACTCTGTGCTTGTTTGAAAAGGGTCTTGTAAATCCTCATCTGCAAATGGATCTGGACTTTGTGGCAACGAGCAGATATTTTCCTTTTTGTCTGAGAAATTTTTCACTGATTTGTCTGGGTCAGAGTTATCTTCAGTGCCAGAGTCTTCATAATTTGCATGTATAAATGGTTGAACAGTAACCTTTTCTACAGCAATAGGAACAGGATTGTGTTTCCTGTACATTTTCTTCCAATATTTCATGTCCATTTTATTTTCATTTTCTTCCGAAGAGAGACGTAAACGCATAAAACTACAAATATTTGCATTTTTTTGCACATGGTTAGTTTTACTATGCCTCTGCTCAGTCACAGAAAGGATAGGAGAGAGCAAACAAGGAAGCTCTTCTTGTGTGGGTAGTGTAGACAACTGGTCACTATACTCGCTTCCATTGGATTCTCTTTTTTGTTCGTGTTTGTTTTGAATCTTCGTGGATGGCTTTGTCAGAGAGACATGTTTCGCAGGAGTGCTACTCCTAAAATTCACAGTACTTCTCTCTCTGTAACAACACAGATTTGGAGATGATGAATGGCTGCAAATTGCATTCGACTCATTTCCTGAACAGATGTCTTCACAGAGATTTTCACCTTCTAATGCACTCTTCAGTGAGCTCTTACCTGCAAACAAATTGTTCAGTGTCATCAATTAATAAGTTATACTATGTATCTACAAATAAGGAAAGTATTGTAAATACTCTCACGAAACAAATTAAAAGATAATCGTATATTAATATATTATCTCTTTAATACAAATTAGGATTCACGGGTGTAGGCTTTAAATTACTTCAAAGCCACCAGACATGAATGCAATCTGTAAAAATAAATCATACAGCGACAAATTTCAAATAACAGTGGAGTTTCTTTTAGGAGGGAATTATACTTGAACATATTTTGTTTTTACAGCATATAAATTGAATTGAATTGAATTAATGCCTTATTTTACGTGGCAAGACTCGGGCCATCAGGCCCGCTCTTCCGTCTGACCACGCAAATTTTGCTACGCTCCTTTCACCAACTAGCAGAGAAAGGAGTTATTTCTTGGGCGAGAAACAGGCGATTTGAATTTAGCTAAGAGGCGTCATTTAGGCTTGAGGGTCTTTTACATGCAAGTAAATCTACTAACACGGGACAGCCAGCTTTACTTCCCCTCCGAAGGAAGGCGTCAGAAGGATTTTTTTGCTCTTAAAAATCCATGGCTTTGATTTGAACCCGGCAACTTGGGTATACCAGTCCGATATGCTAGCCGTTACAGAATCACCGCATGCATAAATGATATTTACAAAAGTGCCATTGGGAGAACTGATGTCATTTGCTGATGATATCAGTCTACTAGTTAAAGCTTGTTAATGGAATGTACTTTTTGAGAAAACTGAACAGAAATTGAAGATATTATGTGCATGGCTAAATTAAAAAGGACTAAGCTTAAACATTTAGAATACTCTTTATGTTACATATAGTAGTTAATTACATTAACAGTAAACCTCAGAACTGTGAACTCAAGCTTCATTCGCTTACTAATCAAGGTTTTTGCCACGCTTCAGCTCAGACATTGGCTGGCGCTGTATTAGCTGCCGTAAGACCTAGTTGTGTGCCCACCCTATTGTCCAGGGATGGCCGGAGGTGTCCCAGAAGGTGTCAGATGACCTCATAAAATTGACTGTGATAAATTATGATTGTACAGCAATAGAATTAAAATTGCTAAGTACCTAGATATAAACATATTGAGCAAATATTACCATATTGAGCAAATATTTAAAAAAATTGAGATATCTCATTTATGTATTTTACAAGCTAAGCTGTTTTCTGAATACCAATGAAATATTTATTTTATACTACGCGTTATTCAGCAACGTAAGCATGGGGTGGAGCATACGATAGCGTACAGCCATTGATAAGTTTCAAAAGGTAATTGTAAAAATAATTTTTTTTAACCTTTATTTTGATAGTTCATACGCCAGAATGTTTAGATTAAAAAAAAAAAAAAAATTTAAACAAGTAACAAATAAAATGTGTGAACTTACAAATGTGGGGTACAATTTTGAAAATTTTTCTTCTGGTTTGATTGTTGGTGTTTGTGTTGGTGAGTGTTGATGGGATGGTTCACTTTAAAACTCTCTATACATATCAGTTACGAAACACGTCTTCCACTTTCTTTTTCTCATATACTTCATGCAATATTCGTTTTACATTGCCAAGCCTATCTATGAAGATTTCATGGTACTAGGATTATTTAAGTAATATACTTAGCTTTTATCCACATTAGACAAAATACTGACTAAGTCTGCAGCGACGATTGACTTTTTAAACTATGAGGTGACCTCTATATAGTTATTGTGTCAAATAAGAAAATATTTTGATTTTTATAATATATACAAATACTAATACAAATTAATAATGAATATAAAAACATAAAATGAATGTTTTTTAGTACCAAATTCAGAGAGTATTAAGCAATGCTTACTTTGGGAGATGTCCTTATTTTCTTTCTTTGTCTTTCTAAGCTCTTCCATTTTGGCCCTGAACCTGAAATGATAATAATTATTTATTTATTTGCATTTAAACATGTAATAGCCAAATATTACAGGTTTATACAATAATTATAATTTGATACTAAAAATAAGGAAAATATAAAAATACATTTTAATTGTAATCGCAGAGATAATGTGACTTTGTATAATTAACAAATTGACTAACAGAGATACAATTTACGTTGATATCACTGTTATTATAGTTTTTGCACACATGCCATATAGGAGAATAATAACCCAAATTAGTTCTCATGAATGGTATAAAAAATGTATAATTTTGATTAAATTTGGTGTTACGGAACAGTCTTTTCCAATTGATCAAAGATAATAGTTTGTTACTGTCAATATCATGATTTAATAATTTGAATAGAAATAAGATGTCATTATATTTTGTATGGGATTTAAGAGAACTAATTTGAAGATATAGTGAAATTTCGCTGTAATTGTGGTTTTATCTTGGTGATGGTAATTTAAGAAACCAAGCTGCAAAATTAAAAAATTATGTTGCACCGATTCAATTCTCTTGTTGTATACATCATAACAAGGAGATCAGTTTTGTGACAAGTACATAAGTATTGGTTGCATTAATGTTAAATACAAAGTTCTAATCGTAGAAGAGTTTCTAAAGTCAATTGCAGTTCTCATAATGAATCCTAACATACGATTAGCTAATACGAGAGCTAATCATAATAATATTTTAAAATTTGAAATGAAAAAGTAGTATTTGCAAATTAACAATATTACAATTAACACAAAAAGTCCACATTTTTTCTAATACAACATGGACATTGACTAGACTGCCTCAATAAAGACATTTTTATTTTTATTATTCTGACCACTACACAGCTCTTGGTGTCATGTTTTTCAACGCAAGTTAATGAATCATTTATTATTTAAGATAATAAAGTTTCAATTTTTATGATTTTTTATCGCTCCCACAAAAAATTAAACCCAAACCACTGTTTTAGTGTCTACATTAATTAATTAATTTTTTAACATATTAGTACTTATTTGAAGGGAAAGGTTATCATCTCTTACAATTAGGGAGAGGGTTTTTATGCCTTAAAAATTCGTGAAATATGCTTTTAAAAATATGCGTTTATAATGTAAATATTCTGAAATATACACTTTGATATGCAATTAAAATTAACAATATTTCATTTCCTTTATAAATGTTTATTGATAAAATTCAGGAGAAGCATGTTAATGAAAAGTTATATTTTGTGCAACCATAATATAATATACCCTACTTTGCAGGAGAAATAATTGAAGTAATTATTCATCTTAGTGAAGTACATTGATGTATTTCTTGCACTTGTCTGTAGTTCTTCTGACTGGTTAAAAAAATACATTATCAAGAAATATCCTGTATTTGAATAAGTAATTTATCACCTACAGAAAAGAAAAAAAAAATAAATAAAAGGTGTTGTCTAGAATCAATATTTGCGTGGTCAGATGGAAGGGCAGGCCTCATCGCCTGAGTCTCGCCATGTAAAGTAAGGTATTAATTAAATTAAATTAAATTCAATTCAATATATATTTCAACTCTTTTCGATCGCACAGTGATCTTCATTTTTATTATCAGAAAACGTCACAAGAATACATGAAATTATTTACTGGAAAAATTAAAAGTACATCACTTCGAAATATGTATCAATTGTATGACTATCCATACACAATGCCAAGAGAATCTACCTCTAGCTGACTCGAATTTGACTGTCATGGACACTATTCTATAATATCTGCGCTTACACGTTTAGCCCAAAATCACCAATACGTATATGAATAAATTGATACTCGAATACGATCAATAGCTTAAAAGTGATCTCAACAACTCAGTATTTAATTTCATTGATAGATATGCAAACAATTGACCAATAACTTATTTTTATAGGAAAACGAATATTTTGTAATCTTCAAGAGGCATATAAAACCTTATGTATATATGAAATGTATTAGCATATATGGCCTGTTGGATAATAATAAATAAATAAAAAAAAAAAAAAAAAAAAATGAAATATACAAATTATGTACAAAATGTATTGACGTAGTATGCTCGATGACCAAGCAAACTGGGTTGTTCATACCATTCAGTGTCTGGGCTGGAAACAAAGTTCTGTAGTTTTTCCAGTGATCAACTTGTTTAAGAGAAAAAAAAGTCAGTCAGAAACATGTGGGGGTGGGGTAGTCAGGGATCAGAGACGGAGGTGTCTGGTGCAGGCGGAAGGAGGGGTGGGCACGTGAGGGCAGGTAGAGTTAGAGGTGCACATTGGGCTAATTTTGGCAGAGGTGACAAGAGTTCCAGGATATGCTGGTTAAGGCAAGTCGTGTTCTGTTTTGTCAGGTTGTTATAAATATGAAGGGATTCTAATTATATTTTGTGCAAGTACCTTACCATAGTCAATTTCTAGAATTTGAAAATTAATGTATTTGTCGAATTTGTGTGTGTGTTTAGATTTAAGTAATCAGCGAAGTGTGAGACTGTGGTAGGTAGTGCTGTTTATCTGTGAATTTTCAGCATGTTTGTCCTATGTACATGGATGGCACTGCAAGCGAGAGCATAGACCCCACATATGGAGGTATGTGAGATTGGATCTTTAGTGTAGGCTAGTGTTTTCTGTGATGTGTGAGAGTTATAGAAAGTAGTTTTGAGACCAAATGTATAGTGTGGTGGCTATTTTAAGAGAACAGGGTCCTACATAAGGGATAGTGAGGTATATGGCTGTTGTGTTCTTGTCAATTGGTGTGAGAGTGATGTGTTTGTGGATGTTGAGCATGTTTATTTTTTTGATTATTAATTTGTCAAAGATATTACAGTTACATCCATACAGGATGGATACACAAACACACTAATTAACAAGAACACGTACCTTATGATTCTCTATGTAGGGTCCCTTTCTCTAAAAATAGCCTCCACACTCAATAAATTATGCATTGGGCATACTATGTCCACATTTTGTACATAATGTGTATAATTTATAATTCTTTTTATTTATGAATTCTTTTAACATTTTCAGATAGTTGTGATGATTGCCACGCAATTGAAAATATCTTTAGTTTAAATATATATTTGATGCTGGACAACCCCTTTTATTTATTTATTTATTTATTATTAAAAGTTATATATCTCACCAGAGATTAATTTAAAAAATGCAAACTGTGACAAGCTATTCCAAATCAAAGAACACTACAAATAAAGAAATTCCATTAAATATGAAACATTTTATAAATAAGTGTCTATTTTAATGAAATATGCAAAATATGTGCCAATAATTACAAGAATATGCACCAACAAGAAAAATAAGCAAATATGCATAAACATATTAATCTATACAGCATCATGTTCAAACCAAATGTCAAGAAATTTCACTTCGCTATGCACTGAAGCAACGGTCAAAAATATGCAAAATCATAGATATCTGCTCCTTACTTATAAACATAAAAACTTTGTTCATAAAAATCTAATTCTATCATGCCAGGGAGTAACAATAGAACTCTGTGGTCTTCAAACTACAGTCTAGAGGCTCTTGCGTCCCTTGGCTTAAATTTTGGTGGCTCACAAATAAATATTCATTTTAACTTCAAAGTAGCCTCTTGCTTGTATGCATACATTTAAGCAGCTTTCCTCCAGTATGAATATCACGAAGTCAAAAGTAAGAAACAGGCTTTACAATGCTCACTTGAAGAACTGCCTCTGAATTTCTTCTTCTTACACTGAAGCTGATACAGACAGTTTAGTGTCAAAGAAACAGTGACAGGTCCCACATTAACTTCAAGAATATTACTGTGCTCTGTGTTGTTCCACTTCCACTTTGCAAACTGGAAGACAAAATATATAACATACTTATGTAGTGTGTACAATGTTAAGTAGTCCCTACAGTGATATATAGTGATTTGAATTACATAGTTTTTAACACAGAGAATCTTTAATGAGCATAAATAACATACTGAAATTTTGAGAACAGGAACTGAAATTTTGTGAAATTTTGTTGAACAGGGCTTGGTCAGTAGGAACAAAAAGAAATTTAAAATATGATTGTTTGTCAATGTTTTGGAAAATATATTTCCATCCTCACGGCTATACAGAAAAAGAAAGAAGCAAGCACTATTGCATAAAGCTACCAAAAACGTGTCAGATACAAGTAAACTATCTTGATACAATTAAACACATTAAAAAAATGTGAACCTGAGTTGCATACCTTACAACAATAAATAGAGAGTATGCACATAATGAAATAAACTGCTACATATTCTAAACCATAGCATACCTAAAAGGAAGTGAGGAACATACATACACCTTCACCCTACAATGCACACCATGACTACTATGGTAGAATAGTAGTGTGTGTACTCTGTCAGTGGTTGCAAGGTATGAAACTCGTGTAGAATTATTTTTCTGAAAAGCCTTGAACTATAACAAGATAAAGTAATTGTATCAAACATGTTTTTGATAGATTTACTTAATAGTGCTTGCTTCATTTTCATTTTGTATAGCCCTGAGGCTGGAAATACATTTTGCAAAACGTTGTCAAACAACCATTTTAAATTTCTCTTTTGCTCCTACTGACCAAGCCCCATGTTACATATGTACCCAAGATATGAGTACATATGTATTGTCATATTTTGTAATTCATAAATAAGTGCAGCTCGTTAGTGTTTCACCAAAAAGAAAAAGGCTCTTTAATTAAAACAGTTAAAGGCCACTGTTATGACTAAAACATAGCTACTATTCACGAAAGGGGTTAAAAGTTTCAAATTCAGGGATAAAATTAAATAAAGGTGCTTATTCATAATAACTTAATTATTCAATCAATTAAATAACATCATTATTTAAACCACTATTTATTTTCCTTGAATGATATATTTGTTATAACCACTCCCATTAATTAATAATTGAAATATACAGATAATATCCATGTACACACAACATTCTTTCTCCCTAGCATGAAAGAACCACGATAAATGAAATGTGCTGTTCAATATGCCAAACACACCACTAAAATCTTTAAACAATGTCATGTCTTAAAGAAAAAAATTATCATACTCATCCTCAAGGGCATCCAAATCACAGGAACTGTCGATTAAATTAAGGAAAGAATTGGTCTTTTCCTTAATTTTGCTGCCTTTTCTCTCACGTTTTAATTTTAAATGTCGCCTTTTTAATGTGGCTGAATGAGGTTTCTCAGAGAATTTTCTGCAAATTCAAAACATAAATACACATAAGAAATACCTAAATTAAATTTTAAAAATAAACAGTTTAAAGCGCACTTACTTTGTTGCACCTTGAAGAACAGATTCAAAAACCGGCGTTTTCTTTTTATGATCCAAAACCAAACAATTTCCCCCTTCTGGAGAGTTTTCTTTTTCATTTTCATGGATTTTAACTCCTGATTTGGATGGTGAATCGCAAATATTAACTTTATTCTTCTCGATGTGGCCTCTTAACAAATCAACCAAAGGGACAATTAAATGAAAGTTAAGCAATATTCTTTTGTTTAAAAAAAGAAAAAGAAAGATAAGAACAAGAAGCAGCAGCATTTGCTATTGGAGAAAATAAATCTAGGCAATCTACCTGAAATCTTTCTCTCTATCAGCTCTTATTAACTTTAAAGAAGCAGTTCTTTTACCACCACATAATAATTGTAGGAAGTGAGCACAATGCACACATTTCAAGCAAAGATTATTTTTAATAATTTTGACATAAGTTTTCAAATTTGCTACATGAATCGATTTACATCATAACCATGCATGTAAATGCATAACAAGTATTTTAGATGAATGATTTTGGTCACTTTTTTATCTAGTGCCAATTGCTGCAGTTAATTTAACTCATTAAGAAGTTGAACTAGTGGAGCAACAACCTGGCACTATGTTTCTTGTAGTATCTGTAAGGATTGTGTAACATCATTAGATACTTGGCTGTCCAGGATATGGACCACTATAATAACCACATTGAAATCTTTAAGCTATTAATGTTTTCTCCATCTCTTACAAAACGTGCTTCATCAAATTGCATGAAATCTTATTTAAATCCATTTCCTTCCATGTTCTCAGGTCTACTTCATCATGAAAATTGACATTTTGCTGCAAATTTAGTCAGTGATATCATTGCTGAATTGATGCTTGTCAATGAGGTTTAACAGGTTTGACCACATAGCAATGATGCTTGTAAGCTGTTTCAGTTTACATACCCTACACCCATAAATAAACAATGCCTCTAAAACTCATTGTCTCTCTTTCAGACTTAAAATTTACAAAATACTCAATGTAAATAGTATATATTACATAGCAAAAAAATGTATTGCATCCAAATGTCAAAATGAAAATTGACATTTGACTTTCAACTTAATACAGCAAAAAGAGGGAGTAGAGATTTAGGACCTGAAGAATATTCATGCAAATTATGTGACTCCAGCAGTGTTTTTCATATTTTTGATGTTAAAAAAAGTAAAGAAATAAAAAACTGTCTATAAATTTTATCCTTATATACGACCATTATATTAAACAAATAAAAATGCAGACCATAGAGAAAAAATTAATGGTGTGCTTTCCTGCAAGACTGATAATATAGATACTGATAATGGAAACGATCAAATATCTTGATTTCTTACTACTTTTTACATATTTCATACTATCTGAACACCTGCAACATTGTCTTTTGTTCATCTTTTTGATAATTTATTTTACAGACAAAAGTATTTCTCAATATTACTTAAATACTGTACTTTTTGTATTTTCCATTCATCAGCAGTTTTAATCTAAAACTTGTTGAATTAATATTTGAATATATCGATATCGAATCCAGTAGTTTTATACTACCAGCTGATACTTGGTACAGAAATACCATGAAAGTATAATAGATCACCAAATTCTGCTGACACTACAATATATATCTGATAATTATTACTTTATTGCCTTATCAGATTTTATTACGTACAAGTAATGTATTAACATATAATAACATAATATTGAATGAAAGTGGAAATTTATTGTATATCATTGATTTCTTGATAAATCCACTTTTTTTTTGAAATAAAAGATAAGCTAAGACGTTAATTAACAAATATATATGTCGGATATAAAATTTTCAAAACTGCCTTTCCATTCAATCCCTTAAATAAGTGTTTACACAGCAGGTGAATAGTTCATTCTATTAATTTCCATATAATTCAAATTTACTAACTTAATAAGAAACAAAGAATAAGCCACTTTCTTACCTTGTATCCTTCAAAAGTGCATCAAAAGGATCTAAAAAATCACTTGAATCAACACTCTCACACACAGGATGCTCAGGTATACCAGCAAAAATAGGTTTTTGGCTGATCTTATTTTTACGACTTCGTGTCTGATCTTGTTTCACTTTTTGCTTCACATCCTTAATGTTTCGAGAAAACAATGCATTGAATAAATCTTCTCCCTCACTAACTTCCTTAATAATTTCCTTGGCAAAAGGTCTACTTTTCTTCTTCCGAAGAATAGTTTCTGCTTGATAAGCTTTTCCGTACATTTCCAATAACAGTTTATAATATTATAAAATGACAGAATAAGATCCACTAACGCTAAAGGAGACACATTTCAGCACAAAGCAGGACATGCCAACAACATATTAATTCTTGAGACTATACTGCGATTTATGCATCTCTGCCCCTGGTAGATATCAGCTGTTGACAGTTTCGTCCAATCAAGAGCTCCAATGTCACCGCAGTGACGAACCTGTAATGGCGTTGGAACTGTCGATTGGATGAAACTGTCAACCGCTCATACCTGCCAGGGGCAGAGTTGCAAAAATCGCGTACACTTGGGGTTTTATTTCTTGGCATATGAAGGAAATGCCCTGATATAGTGCACCACATAAGACGGCTCTTCTGTGCCAAGCAATAAAACCCAAATATTTCGAAATGGTAAAAGAGTATTTTATAACAGAGACGGCACTCAATGTTAAACTAGAGACATATGCGAGGAGGAGAAGCAGCCACCACGACCCCTCTCCAACACTCCAATGAACCAATAGTGTCCTAGGATGATCTAGCCAATGTAGATGGCGCGTAAACGACCGGGGCATTTAAAATTACATTATGAAGTAGTTTTTCAATATGTCGGAAAACTATAATTAAATTAATACTAGCTGAATCTGTACGATTACATCGCACAGAAGGAAGTTCTTTAGGAAAGTTAGTACAGAAAATATTGCATATTCATGGTCATACATTACGTTTTATATTTACTACTGTCTTCAAAGTCTGTAAATTTACATAGTACAGTTTTCGTGCAGATAGATGAGCAGAAAACGTGCAGATCAGGCTGCACGATTTCTGCTTGAAAATTTGAGCATGTTTATAATTTTACATGCAAAACTCTTACAGTTTGACTCACGTGCCGCCAGCGGCAAAATCGTTCACAAACGGATTTGTTTACCCAACACGATGAATACCGACTCTTTCCCTATTCCTGACGTCTTATATTTCTTCTCTATGCTCCTCATGGTCATAGAGTACAGATATATCTCTTCTCTATGCTCATGCCTATGCTCAATTAATACTCTATCAAGATCATAACAAGAACGCACACTAGTGATCTCAACTATATTATCTGTATCCTACAACTGCAATGCTGGAAATCCTTCGGAAGCGTGACGCCCGATTCTGGTGTTGGCTAACCTGAAACGTATCCCAAAGTGTCAACTTCTACGTGTTGCGTAAGCTTATACCAGCGTATACGGCGTGGAAAGGCTTTATTTCGGTTAATTTTGCTTTTAACAAGAAACACAAAGTAAAGTATTGTTTTGAGTACGGTTGCATACACCTCCAGAAGGCGGGAAGTGGAATTCAGTTTCTGCGACTATATTCATGCAATGCGTCTTCTAACTCCGTAAGGAGCGTTGGGCGCACTGGAGCAATCCTCCGTTACAGAGCGTTCAGTCATGTGACCGGTTTATTTGACAGCCACTGATGCCATACCACATGGATCATGCTTGGGGGCGTGGCCCAGTGATTTAACATGCAGAAATGATTCTATTTCATTTCACGAAAGTTGGCTAACGTGTAGTGGCGCATACATAATGTATTGTCAATCCGACAAAAGAGAAAGTTCAATGAAAAATATTTTATTATAGTGATTAAACATCATTGAAGAATTCTGAAACTATATTCAAGGTTACAATTTTTAAAAGTTAATAATTTACGCACACTGTGTTCAGTTAGAATTGGGAGAGTTCAGGTGCAGAATTAAAAGTTTAAATTATTCCATTGAGGGCAAGTAAGTGGTTACATTCCAGGTGAAATAGTGAAACTTTATTGTTTTTTAAGCTGATATTGGCTTACTGAATAATATGCCTTTGAAATAAAATGCTCATTTGCTTGCTTCCCAGAAGTAATGTTGCTTTTTGCCCTAATGTATGGGTAGGTGTTTTTTTTAAGGCGTACTTCTCAAAGATATAACTAGACACTTCATTATGTTCTGCAATGTTTAACTTCTTTGTAAATTCTTTTTAGTAATTATTGTATAATTTTTAATTTTTTTATTAAAAGAAAGAAAGTTTTTTTCAGTTATATGAAGTTTCAATTTTTATGTATATGAATCAGGCAATATAAAATGATGTGTGAATGATAGTATGTGAAGAAAAAGGTTTGATTGTGAATGAATGGGTTGAAAATATTTTAATAACATTCATTTACACTCAAGCAAAAATTAACTTCAAGTATAGAAAAAATATAAGTTCTGTTAATAAAAAAGAATTAGAAATGCAGAATTCAGTGGAAAAGAAAAGTTTTAACTTTTGACAGTTATGTTAGATTTCTCCGTATTGTAGGCATCTTAATGCAATACATTATTAAATTATCAAAATCGGGTGGTTAGGACTGCTTTGATTAGCCGATAAAGTGGTGTCATTTAAGAAGATACAATACGTACATTGTTCATTGTTTTATCCTCTTGGTAAAATTCAAATGTATAAGTTTTATTCAAAATTTTTAAGTTCCTGACCGCTGGCAAATGTGGTAGGCTGAGGCTTGGAGATGTTATGTAGGTTGTGGAATCATTTTCTAAAGGCTTAGAAAACTGATTTTGATTTTGTATAGTTTGGACTTTAAATTATCTAAGTGGTAAATTTATTGAACTTCAAATGGATTCGGTGGAAATGTTGTATTTTTCAAAATAAATAATCATGCAAATAAAGGGAATTATTTTTTCAAATTATATGTTTGTTTTTATGTACTTTTCCACCTAATTTCTATTGACTTTTTAATATTATGTAATAAAGTTATTGAAGGTATGAAACATTTTTAATTTTCATTTCTAAGGCTAAATCTTGCCACAGTGGATCATGAAAAACCCATTTATCTTTCAATAATTTGAATATAACTATTTGATATCTCTTTTGAATGATAGGTTGAATTCAATAATTTATAGCAGTTTTCAACCCATTTTTATCTTTTAAGAACTGACTTCGATTTCCATATTTTAAGAAATTTACCTGAAGTTACTGATCAAGTTGAATTAACTGAGAATACTGCCAAACTATTCCAGAATAATCTACTAACTTGTACCCTTCTTCCCAAAGAAATCTTTGAATGTAGTGTGAAAATTTTCCAGATTCGTACAACTCAGGAGAAGCACAAGTTATAAAAAGAAAACAGCAAATTCATAGTAGTTTTATATTTTGTAGCACATGTCTTTTAAGGCCTTGTTTTCAATTAGTCAATAACTGAGCAAATTATAGTATTTAAGTATTAATTACAACGAATTCACAATTAACTAACCATATCTTGCAACTCACTGATCAATAATTGATACATTGGCTGTCCAGTCATTAAGATGAGCAACGTGAAAATGAAATCGTAATTATAAGACACCAGATATCATAACTGCAAAACATTAATACAGCACCATTAATTTGAATCTTCTGACACGCACGATCGAAAAGTACCGGCAGAATTCAGGTAGTCTTTTACAAGGCCTACGGCGGGAGCTTTGCAGTAAATCCATTTCATTCTTGTATCTAATGACTTAATTTAATCAACCAACACATGTTATCAGAGTATTTCGAAATGTTTTGAATCATTGAGTAATAATTTTTCATCATTAATGATACGGAATTAAATTAAATTCTCTCGTGAAAACTGTTTTCTAACATCCACGCGATCAAAATTACATTGAACAACAAAATTCAGTCAACCACACAGCGCGACAGCTGTGAATACAACTCAGCTGACTGGCGGAAGAATATTTAGCGGAGAGCGATGGCGGTCTTAGGCGAGCTCATCTGTTATACAATAATGTCATTAAAATCGTTACCCCACTGCCCCTGACGCTCTGTATTAAGCGCTCTGTAGGGGTCCGCTGTGTTGTCAAAATCACGTCAGTCCATAAGTCAAGTCAGGGAATTGGCCGGGCAGGTAGCGTCTTCGCGCTCGCGTCTTCAACTCAAGACAGACTTCGTCCACTGAGGCCACGAAGAAGCACAAATGTAATTTAAAAGTTACGGCTGGTGTGATTGGTGGCTGCAAATCACACCTCTTTAACTATTCATACGTACATAAAATGTTGTACTTGTATTTCTGGCATTACGCAGGTTTCCTTTTCCGAAGCCGCAAGAAATTTTTGAAGAAATGGATTCATACTGTCCAAAGAGAAATGTTATACTGTTAACTGTTAATGTTGCTGTTTATACTGTAAACATACTGTGAAAATGTTAAAAACATTTTCTTGAGAATGCTCCCATTAATTAAACAGTATTAATATGTCGGTGACACTTGTTCCTAACAGTGTATGAGAAGTCAATTTATCTCAGCTCTATCAGCTTATCATTTCTTATATTCGTAGGTTAGACCAGAAGTGAAAGTCAAGTTACTGAAAGAAGATGCAGTGTCCTTTGTGTTTGATTTCCCAAATCATCTATGAAAACAAATATGTGAAGCAACCATGCATGCGACCTTCATGCATATTGGATACTTTTAATGTCATTGTTAGTCATTTGAGAACACGATTTATGTATTTTCTTCATGTCATAATCCTTATTCCACTGAAAAATGTAAGTAAGAATTTGGCTTCAACATTGATGGTAATAATTATTGAATTGTTTGACCACATTAAAGTTGAGTTTGTATGAATTACAGAACAAAGAAAACTATTCTGATATAGAAATTGATTCTCAGCGCAAATCCCTTAGCAGTTCAAAATGTTAGGAGTCACAGACAGACCCACAGTTACTGACCAAAGCCATCCGCAGGAAGGAAATTAATCTTTTCAAACGAGACTGAATCGCAGGAAAAGACGATTAGTAACATAGCAGAATTATTCAGAGAATTGAGAAAGATTCAAATTCTGACTTGGAAGCAGCTCTTGAATAGAATTTTAGTGGTTTTCTGTTTGAGTTTATCAAAATACAGTATCAAAATTCCAAATGTAATAAAAAGGGAAGACTGTACAGTGACCTTGTGGAACAGTTTTCTCTTACATTGCACTTTCATTCTCCTTAAGCGTACAAGTATGACCGATCTATGTTTTCTGATACTGATCTGTTTTCTGATGTTATCTGATACAAATAGACTATGATCATTGATTTCTTCTGTAAATTGTGAAACAGGTTTTATTTATGAAGATTTCAAATATTTGAATGAAAAAAGGGACAAGTTATCATATACGAATGAATGTGATCTTGTATCCGATGGTACGTTGATAAGAAAGCAGTTGATCTGGGATGCCAACAAAAAAAGATTCTCAGATTAAGTCAACTTGGGAAGCATAGCATCTACGGAAGGAGAAGAACTAACAAAGGAAGTCAGGCTCTACAAATGTATGGACAATTCATGAATTCTGAGTTCATATTTATTATTTTAAAATTCAATATATTTTCTGTTGTCCCTCAATTAATTATGTAATTGATTGTGTAGATTTACACGAAACAAAATTGCCGAAAGTAATTGTAAGAGTGTACACCACCCTACAATTAAGAGCAGTGCCAAGAAATGTGACAATAAATGAACCTGGAAAGAA